GCTAAAACGTGTTAGTAATAAGCAAGTCAGATAAGACAGGGACATATGGAAAGAGCAGAGGGGAACATTTATCCAGCAGTGGACGCATACAGGTTGATGATGACCATAAATAATTTTATGATTACACACAAAAATATAAAAGATTTATTAGAGTGCAAATAAAAATAAAAAATTCCTATGAATTTTAATAATCGTTTAAAATATTTTAACAACACTTTTTGTTCTTTCACCAAGTTTGGGTGATATTATTTTATATTCATGATGGTGCCTAACTTTACAAATAATATCGGTATCAACAAAATTCGCCATTTAACTTCCATGTGCTGAAGTAAATATATTTTTCATATTTCTCGAAACACAGTCTAAGATACATCGTAATAAATTTAGGTCACACATTTTAAGAACACATTTCTCTAAAAAGCGTTTCTACAAACAAGTCCTCATATAGTAATAACGTATACAGTTCGCTGGAAGCTCTCGCCAACATAAATATTTTTGCTGTTACGTTTACTGCTTATATTGTATAACTAATATGATATGACACTTCGGAAAAATCATGGGAAATAGACGTGGTTCGCAAACAAGTTCTTTCTAGCTAAGATAACAATAACGAGTGCCAAATGGAAAAATTGTAAAAGATAACAAAAATTTTTAAAAATAATACGTGATTCCCTTATTGACAGATATGTTTGAAAGACCAAATTCTTTAATAGGTAAACAAAATAATAAACTACTGTTTTTTACATTTTTAATAAAATAACATTATAATTATCACTTTATTTTCATCATACTGCATATTTAATTATTAGATTTTCATGGTAGGTGTTTTCTTTTTCGAATCTTCTTTAATTAGGAAGAGTAACCAAATCCTCTTATATTTTACTAGGAATCCGCAAAGCAATATTTGTCATTTAGTAAAATATAGCTATTTTTTAAATTTTGCTCTTTTTCCTACCATTTTTACCAAGAAGTATCCACAATAGAATTGTGTATAGCTATTTTTGGCGATAAGAATAATAGCGATATAGCTTTCAGCCAGTGTCGATACAGCTATTAGCCCGCGACCACTCGCGTGATGATCTGTCAGTATATTTTCAAAGTGTAAAAATGGACGTTAACCGCCTGCCACATATGGGTCGACTATGCTGCTTGCTGAAGAGAGTCGAAAAACAGGCTGAGAAGAAAATAAAAGCAAATTGTCAGTCAACTGATTCTCGTCAGAACACGGTTTAGTCCCAAAAAGAACTCTTATCGTTTGCTTACTTCTTTTAGTATGTAGTTTTATTTTAAAAAATTATTAAAGTAGTTTAAAGTGTGCGTCGATTACTTTGCTTCCCACAAATAGGCCGCATGCGTCTTAGTAGCTTCAAATTACGTTTAACGTCGACGGTAACCTGTAATGTTTTTGCATGCCTGATTGACTACAAGAAGGCTTTCAATAGGGTCAGTCATGAACAAATGGGGAAAGTGCTGAAGAGGACAGGGACTGACGAAAAAGACTTAAAAATAATGGCTAACTTGTATTGGAATCAATCAGCGGTGCTCGGAATAGATGGGGAATTAACAGGAGAGCAGTGAGTCAGAGATGCATAATTTCACCACTGATATTCAATCTGTACTCAGAGCATATTTTTGAAGAGGCTCTAAAAGATATTGATAAAGGCATCTCAATAAACGGAGTCAAGCTCAATTGCTTAACTGCAACCTGTGGTATGCAGATGATACAATAGTTTTCCAATACCACAGAAGGACTGCAAAACTTAATGAACAAAATAACGATAACAAGTAAAAAATATGGACTAGATATACACACCAGTAAAACCAAGCTAATGATCATCAGCAAGGAAAACATAACTGGAGCAAATCTGTATGTGAACCAAATCATAATTGAACGTGTCTCACAATACAACTACTTGGGAACTATAATCAATGAGTCGTGGGACAATACCCAAGAGATTAAAAAAGTGCATTCTTGACTACGAGCTCTGTGTTTAAGAGCCATGACCTCACTCTAGGATCAAAAATAAGGCTCCTTAAATGTTATGTGTACTCAGTGTTTTTGTACGGAGTAGAAACGTGGACATTGAAGGCGAAAACCCTATCAAAACTTTAGACTTTTGAGCTGTGTCTATACAGAAGGATCATAAAGATACTATGGACAGACAAAGCCACCAAGGAAGAAGTACTGCAGAGGATTAACATAACTGAGGATTTAATTAACATCGTGAAGGGTGTAGCATTTACAATTCATTGATTTTTTGGTGTATATTGAAATCCCCTCGTATATGTAATATATTGAAATCCCCCCATATATGTTTAAAAAATCGAAGAATATTTTTAATATATCTTTCTATCGTACGTATTAAAACCCCAATATGTTTTTAATTCCTTCTTAAGTCGGCTCGAGAATATAAACCAATTTATAGTTTGTTTATATTTTACAGATGTTACTTTCTCGGTATTTATTTTAATGTTTTATTCGACCTGCTTGAATTGTCTTTTCTAATAAATGATTTGCGTTTCAACCATTTAAAGTGTTTGTTTATTCTAACTTATGCGATCAATTTCTAAGAATAATTTCGGACTTATGTTGTAGCTGCGATCAAGAGCGGTTCAGCATTATGTCCAAATTCATGTCGAATTTGTAAAATTTTCTGTTTTTGCCCCTTTTCAAAAAAAAATGTGTAGCAGTGTGAAGTTAATGGTTCAGTTAATGTTTTGAGTAAGGATTGGAAGAATCGTAGTTTCCATCCTCGTTTTGTTTCTCCCTGGTTATCATCCAAGGCTTTTGGCAGTATGGAGATAGATTTGTTCGTGTGTCCGTTGCACAGAGAGTGAAACCCAGGTCTACCCCCAACTATGGTTCTAGAAATTTCAGTGACGTCCAGTTACAGAAAATCCAAAGTGTTTTAATGAAAAATCCAGGTAACATTTTGTTCAAATTTTAAGTAAAGACAGACAATTTTTTTGTAAAATAATAATTGCTTTCGTTAAAATTCAGAAATTGTAACTTTTAAAAGTTGTAAATTTTAGGTTTTGAGTTTAGCTGGTTTCGAGTTAAGCATTTTAAATTTTTTTCTTTTAAATTTAATATATTTAATTTGTATTTTTGTATTTTGCGACTATTGAGGTAATATTTTTGTATTGTCTTTTTTTAGTATTCTTGTATCTCTATGTTTTGTTTTATTGGTTTCGTAGATGCGGAACCTTCACTGAGTTGAAACTCGGCAAGGTTGTTGGACGAATGAAGATCCGAAAAGCACCTAGCCTAGCATAGATCGAGTCATACCAGAGACGGTAAGACTCGCCGCAATAAAATACCAGCAGGATTTTCTGAGATTGTTAAACCAACTGCTTGAACAACAGCAATTTTCAACAATGTTGAAAGAAGCTAAGGTTGTTCTTATCCCAAAAGGTAGAGGTGAAGAGGAGTTGCGATTTCGGCCAACTTGCCTGAAGGCAACTTACTAAAGGCAAAATCATGCACTGAGCGACAGCCAATATGGTTTTAGGGCCTAAAGGTCCACGATAGATGCGGTAACATAAGTAACTTCTTTAGTTACGCAGGATACAAAGAGATGGCTGGGTCTCATCCGGCTTGACATCAAAAATGCCTTTAATACGGCATCATGGGAAAAAATCATGTCCAGGCTGAAAGAATTGGGCGTTAGTGAGTACCTGGTTAACATAATTAACCGATACTTGACTTCTATAAGAGAAAAATACACCAAAATCAGTTTGTCGAAGGAAATGTCTATATCTAGCCCATATAGGACAGTCTTAAATGAGGCTCTATATGGAATTGGAGCGGTGATACCGATCGTTTGGTTGTGCAAAAAGCGAGCGAGGAAGAAAGAACAATAGTAGAGTAGCAGAGAGAATGGGCGAATGATAGTGGAAAGGCAAGGTTGACGAAGGAGCTTATTCCCGATCTGAGACCGTGATGGAAATGTAAGTTCAGGAAACTAGACTACTTCCTGATGCAGTTCCTGACTGGACATGGTAGTTTTGGTACCTTCACAAGTAGAATAGTGCTGTACTGTTTGTGGGGTAACGGACGCTCCAGCTCACATTTTTAACTGTCAGAGATGGGCAAATGAGAGGAGAGATTTCAAAGGGCAAATGGGCCCAAATAAGTTTCAGTGTGGATGAAAGAAACTTTGTAAACATAATGTTGAGAGGAGAGAACGAATGGAGGAGAGTACACTGACTGATTTCTAGGATGATGAAGAATAAGGAGCAGGAGGACAGAGGAAGAAAACGGAAAAAATTTCTGATTTACGCCATTAGAGATAGTTATTTATAAATTTTTTATTTTTTATTTTAGTTGTTTATTGATGGGCAGTGCCACCTCTCTAGAACGGTGGTTAAGGTTTTAGCCGCAATACGGTTAATCCGGCACTACTCTGAGGTCTTATGGCCTAGTATCCTACTTTTTCTTATGGTGCCCAACCAATTAGTGGATGTTGGCGACAATTCTGGCATACACCTCTCAATCTTGTGTGGCTCTAAAGAGTGCATGGGCATCGAGGTTTGTCCGATCCCTTGTGTTTTTATGCCATGAGTATTTCTTTCTTCCGATGCTACTTTAAGAACTGGTACTTGGAATTTCAAAATATAGTATCCTACTAGGCCAAAAGATGCCAGGGTATCTTGTTCCGTGACGTAGATGTCTCTTCCACTGTTACTTGTCAGAATTCAATGGATACCTTACTGGAATTTGGCAATACGGCAATTTAAAACAATCTTTATTTTCAAAAATTCAAATTCAAAAAGTACTACATATAAAAGCCTTTAATTTCTCTTTTCCACAGAAAATATAAAATTATTAAATTTTATACAACTACGTGACTTAAAATTTTTTTTATATTTCTGAAAACTATAAGAACTGCACGTAGCCGGTTTTTGCACCGGGGTCTTCAATTGTTTTACTTAATCCTGTTACACTGTTTTATATCGTGTTTTTTAAAACATTTGCAGCATATATTTATTACCATTACCTATTTTATTTTCAGATTAAAACTGAAACCAATAACAAAATACTCACTTGTAAATATAGCGATCCATAACTCCGGTGAAAAAGGTAACAAGAAAGCCATTAGTGGTATCTCGGATTTCTGTTGTGGAGCCGCCAAAAACGAGACGCCGCTAAAGAAATACGGAACGCTGAAATCTATCACTTCGCTTCTTACGCTGGAGACGCTAAGAGCCGCAAAAGACATGTGCGCTGCCCCCGATACTAAATCCCCTACAATACCGTTCCATTTGATGTCCACTTCGTCAGGGTTCAGCTCCTTGACACGATCAGATTTCACGTGATCGTCTTTAAACCTGGAATCAAAGAAAACGTTTTAGAATCTGGGCTTTAAAATGTGGGAAGGATATTGTATTTTGTTCTAGATTTCTCTTAACGTTGACACGTATATAGTAAAACGGTAATAGTGGTGTTATAAAAAAAAGCTTGATTTTCATATGAATCATTGATCCATTTAGTGAAATGGTTAAAATAAATGTTTATATATTATGTTTTCTATGTAAAAAATTAAACCTCTGTTTCGTTTCTTGACATAAAAATTATTAAAACTGAGAATAACGTCTAAATCTTAGAGTGGTAAAGAAAACCAATGTATAGTAAAAGGTTTAATAATTATCAGAGTTATCGGCTTTAAAAAATGAAAATAAATATATTAATAACATTAAACACTAGAGTGAGCAATGTACCACATAACGCAAAAAGAGAAAAAAACTTAAAATAACTTAGAACGGAGTTTCTCAACCTTATACCATTTGCGACCCAATGTTCCATAATTATTTTCACCGTGCCCCCTCTCCTACAATAATAATATATCTGTTGGAGAACTATATCTCCAAACCAATAATTCTATTTTGTATCAAATAATTCTATTTTCGCGTCGGTTACCTAAATAAATCCAGTCTACCTAGACCTTGTTTCTGAGAATGTTAATCCCTCCCACAGCGCCTATTTGACGACAGACCGGCTTTTCAAAATGCATAAACAAAAAAATATTCCAGCTGGGCTAGTGATTTAGCGAAGTTCGTAGGGCTAACATCTATATTCCAAAAGTTCGGAGAGGATTCTCCACGTTGCAGTTTACGCAATTGACCGGGAAGCCGTAATATGTGAATAAGTGTTATGGTGTTTTCGCTTTCGTTCGCAAATTGTAATATTCAAATTAAGTTCCTACGATAAGTTACACACTCAAATTTTATAAGCTCTATTTCTTGCCCTTTCTTTTTTCAATTACAGTTTCTTTCTAAACACGTAATTGTTTTATTTCACTATATCAATTTAACAGGCCAGATAAAAGCAACTTTGAAAGTCCATTTTAGTTTCTCTACTGAGCTGTCGAAGGCTAGCGGACTAATTGGGCTTACAGCAAGAACAAAGCCGCTGAAAGAGACACTGTTGCATATAAGCCTCTCCATGGAAGGGATGTTGTAAACCGGCACCCTCCAATATCTATACAATAATAATGTACCTTGAGTATTTTGACGCTAAACTAACAGTAAAACCTTAATTACCAAATTATCGAGAATGAGTAAATTTATTAATATGTTTCAACACCGTCCGGAATCGATGTCTATATTCGCGAGAAGTTCTTCTTCTCGTTGTAGATTCTTCTCCTATCGGAGATTGGCTATCATCACAGCTATCCGTACCTTATTGGCGGTTGCTCTAAAAAGATCTACTGAACTGCAACTATTCCACTCTCTTAGGTTTCTTAACCAGGAAATTCTTAGTCTTCCTATGGATCCTTTATCCTTAATATTACCTTACGTTATAAGCCTTAATATCTCATATTTCGCACCTCTGGTAATGTTTAAAATCCTTCTGTACCACCACGTTTCAAATGATTCCAACTTCTTTATATTATCCACTTTTAGTGTTAAGCTTTCCATTCCATATAATAAAGTTGAGAACACGTAGCACCTTAAGGCTGTTATCCTCAACTCCAGAGCAAGGTCTCGATTAGCAAACATTGTTTTCATTTTTGTAAATGCTTGTCTTGCAATTTTCATACCTGTCTTAATTTCTGTACCTTGGTCATTGTTTTCATTTACCCAGGTTTCCAGATATTTGTAGTTATTCACTCTTTCTACTTGTTTTTCCTAGATATCTAGCCTTCCTACTGAATGTTGCTTAGAAATAATCATGCACTTGGTTTTCTTACCGTTCATTTGTAGTCCATATTTTATACTGACTTGATGTTATCTATTTAATAAGTATTGCAGGACTTCTTGACTGTCTGCAAAAATAGTGGTGTCGTCTGCGAATCTTATGTTGTTCAAGAATTTTCCGTTTATTGGTATACCCTGTTGTTCCTCTAATATTGCTTCCTTAAAAATAGCTTTGCTATACAGATTGAGTAACAATGGTGGCAGCACGCAATTCTGTCTAACACCTCTTTTGGTTTCTACAGTTTCTGTATCCACATTTTAGATTCAAACCTTTGCCTTTTGACTCCAGTACAGATTGACAATAAATCGTATATCTCGACTATAGAGATTGTTTTTTTTTAACAGTTTTACGAGTTTCTGATATCGTACTTTATCAAAAGCTATTTGATAATCTATAATTCAGACAAAGAGATCCTGGTTCATATATAGTCGTCTTTGGACGAGAACGTTAAAAGCGAACAGAGCCTCTCTCGTTCCTAGTCCTTCTCTGAATCCAAATTGGATGCCATCTAAATACTTTGTTGAACAGATTTAAAAGTACATGCAGTCTTTCTTCGTCAATGCATTTAATTAGCTCAGTGGGTATCTGAGTTTTTGCAGTTCTAATTGCCTGTTCTAATTCGCACATTATTATTTTCGGTTCTGTTTGTTTCTGTGGTTCTTTTTGTATCATTCTATTATCGTCGAATAGTTTTATTATGTATTCCTGTCAAAATCTTAGTTTATCTTTGATATCTGTAATGAGTTCACCATTCTCATCTTTGAGTATCCCATAGTGTGTTCGCTTTGTGGTATTTGTTAGTTCTTTTATTTTTTTTATGCATATTAAAGCTCTCTTATTTTTTGTCATACCCTTCTATTTCTATACCTTGATCTGTTAACCACTTTTCCTTGGCCTCTTTTATCTCTACTTTAATTCTACTTTGTAGTTCTTGATATTTTGGCTGATTTCTCCCTGTGGCTTTTCTGCTCTCTTCCATTAATGCTTGAACTTCTGAAGTCATTTACTTCTGTTTTTTATTTATTTTTTCAGGCTTTAAATTCTCTTTTGCAGCCTTTAGTAATGCCTTCTGAGTATTGCTCCACTTTTCATTTTTCCATTTTCATCTTTTGATGTCAAGTTAATTTCTCTTCCTACTTCTGTTAGATTTGAGTTGACTTGTTGGATCACTTTTTGATGTATTTTTCTTTTTATTAATTTTGTATAATCAAACGTTAATTTATTTTTAAATATATCAATCTTTTTGAGTTTCACGTGCATTTTAGCATAATACATTATGCCGTTTTTGGTTATAAGTTTGCCGATGTCTGGCCATTGTACGTCACTTATGCCCAGTATTTTTATTTCCATGCTGATCATTTCTTATATTAAATTGTCTAATTTTCCTGGCCAGTATCAGCTTCTTAGATTCCATGTTGCAAGTCTTATTGGTCTACATTTGTGTATTCTAAGTCGTGGAATTTTATTATCTAAACGAGGATTTTGCTTACTACCAACCTAGATGGTCTTGTCTTTTACATAATCTTTTTCTTCCCTGTCGGATCTTGGTGTCCGAATTCCATTATCAGTAACGATTTGACTTTTTTGCGTATTTGTCATGATGAATGACTAGGAATGTTCTGTTTAATTTTAAATGTAGTGGTTTCCCCCTGCCTTCCGCATTCTTTTGCCGTTGACCAATTTATTGTTTCTTCCGCCTTTGTAATCGATTTCTCAGGATTAAAACCCAGGATTAAAACCCAGGACAAAAGATTGTCCTACTACGTACTGACTCTTCCGTCCGAAGCCCTTGGTCGGTAAGCAGGGGATTGCTTATACTAAAAATCACTCGGTCCCTACCTGCGTTAGCTATCAACACTGATGTTGCCCACCTTTTACGACATGAAGGTGCAGATTCGGATTTCTTCTTCATCGAGATTAAGACTTTCGACATTACCTAATCTCTGCAGAGCTTAAGAAAGCTTTCATAATCTCTTCAGAGCTTAGAAAACTGTTCCTGTTATTCAGTAAGCTATTCCTATTTAGACTATTTCCTTTAGTATACATGCACTTGTTTAATTTATACCGTAATCTGTTAGTCTTTCAAGACTCTTCATGATTTCACTACCATATAACAATATTTATGACATGTTTGGGGGTTTGCATACTTTCATGAAATGATGCTTAACCAGAAATACTTTTTAAGCAGAAGATTATTTTGATATGATTTTTTTAGATTTTTATTGATATTCCAGAAGGTATTTTAGTAATGTAACTTAAAAAAATTTATCTAGCAATTGATATGTAATTTTAGCATTACATTAACATTACGTACAGAATAATTTTGCAACACGCTAATGCACCTTAATTTCAAACATTAATCTTAATTACAAAAATAAGATAAAACGTTCAGTATATTGAACGATAAGTTTGGAAATTGTAATATTCCGAGTCGCTTATCCTTGGCGCCTCTGGTGCACTAGATATGTCATAACAGTTAGTTAAGATATACTACAGCAAACTTAAACAGATAGATATAATTGTCAAACTTCTATTTTAACTTAATAAGGGATAATTTTGCTGCAAACAAACCAATATTTAGTATGTAATAAATGTGTTTTCTATTCCCATACATCGAAAGCATTAACAGTATTCGCATATTACATAATAAAAAGTTGCTACAGCTTGCAGTGAAAGTTTAGTCTATTAGTGGTTAGATTTATAACAGGAAGCAATTTACAATTAATCAAGAAATTTATAGACGAGGTGATCTTCCTTCCTGATGATCTGAAAACTAGCAGCAATAATACTTTAATACCAATGTAACCTTAAATCTATTTCCAATAATCTTTTTTGATGCTGTTTCTTAATTTATGAAGGCATTTTTCCTTATTTTATAAAACTATAACGTCTTTATTTGACCGAATTTTATGAGTGATTAAATGGCGATTTAGGTGCAACAAATCGATGCACTCAAAACCGCACACTCCCATAAAAAGCAGATGGAAACATTCTAATAAAAAAAGACAAAAAGGAACCGAACGTGAGCGAGACGAAGCGTTTTAATATTATTTAGTTTGTGAAAATACTTTAATATGAAAAAAAATATGTGTACTGTATATGTATATTAGAAGCATCTACTTTTAAATAC